ACTTGGTACCTTACTACCTTCCTGCTCCCTCGTTTCATAATTCAGTTTCCTCAGCCACGCTGGTGACTCGCTGGGAGCCCCCCATCACAGAGAAGGCCAAGGTCAACTGGATAGAAAGGTAAAGGTAAACCTTTCTGTTAAAGGTAAGGTAAACAGAAAGGTAAACAGCTTCTGTACCACTTCATCAGTACCAGCTTCATCTTTCTCATCTATTCCTCAAACATTTGAGGAAGTTTGCCAGCTTGAGTCTGCTTCTGAAGCAGAACCAGACCAAACGCTCTTTTGCTTCGAGCAAGCCAGAAGTTTAGCACACTGGCCACAACCTTTCCATTATCACCCTGCTTTATACAGCGGAGATTCAGAGCCACCCAGCCTTGTCACAGATATCCCCGCTGGGAGCAGCACCACTCCCTGCTGCCCAGGGACCACTCTCTGCTCCTGCCACTCCACAGTCACACAGCCGGCCGTGCTGATGCCCTCCTGCCTGCTGGGACTCACCTCCAGGTGGGCAGTGGGCAGCAGCCAGCACAGCCACGCCGTGTCCCCGCTGCACGGCCTGCATTGCACCAGGGCGACTCAATGTTTTCAGAAGCATTTTTCATAAAATGCTGAAGAGAATCACTCCTTGGTAGTACAGGCAAAGCTGCTTTTATTACCTTTATAATCTACTGACATATTATAATCATTAAAAAAAAGGATTTTTAGCATCATTCCTTCTTTCTGCATCGTTACGCAGCTTGGAAATGACTTCCCTGAACTTCACAACAAACACATTCAATGCATACATGCCTTGTGTTTGCTTCTATATCAATATAAAACTCAGCCTTTGCTAAGGGCAACATTAACGTCCACTGCAAGCGCAGCTTGCAGTTGAAAATCTAAGCAATCAGTGAAGTAAAATGCCTGGCACACACTCTGATTTCCAAAACCCAGGCACGCACAACACCCAGGAGCAGAGACTAAACTAACCAAAGGCTTCCGCTGTGCTCCGCACACCGCGCAACAAACAGACCTGAGTTTTCAAGGAGACAGAGCGGAAAGGTTGACACCACAGCACTGATAGCGCTCACCACAACAAGGCCTTGACAGAGTGCTTCTCAAAACAAAACCTGGGCTAAAACAGAACAGCAAGAGGTGGTGTTGCTCAGCAGGAAACTGCGTGCCGAGGGCTCAGCTCGCTGCAAATAAACCTCAGAAGTGCATGGAAGAAGGATATTGAACATCTGTTGAAAAAAGCTCTCCACATTCACCTACGCTGGGAAGGAACAGCAAAGGTTTCAGCACAACACTTAGAACAAGCAGGAAGATGACTTTTATGCATTACTAAGCTTGCTACAAGAAGTTACACAGCATACTTGAGACCTAATCAGAGAGACGAGCTTTGCTTTGATCTATATTACAGGAGCAGCTACAAGCCCTCGCCCCAGCTGTGCTGGGGGCTGTTCTCAGGCACAGGACGGCTCCCCCAGACTTCAGTCCACTGCTGGAGGCAGCACACAGACCGACCTTCCTGCAGCCCAAACTGCACACGCGCTGCCCATCCCTTTTTCCAGCCAGCAAGCAGGACGCTGTATGCTGTTCCTTTAAAATATTTTGGAGTTGGGATGTGCAAACTTCTTTCCTGCAACCCTGAACACCACACTTATCCCCACAATTCAACAGGAAATGGAACAAATCCCAAGCTCACAAACAGAAGAGGCTCCTCATTAAGGAAAGGGGAAAAAAATACAGGATCACACCCTTGAGTTTTATGGAGAGATTTTTCTCTCCAATTCTTGTTCCAGAGACTTCAGGCTTCCAAGCCACTGATACATCCTCAAGCACAGCTGAAGCCCTGGTACAAGAGGCACACACAGACCATGAGCTCTTGCTAGGGTCTGCTGCTATTTATACCCACGGAGCCCAAACCAGCTAGAGCACATGGGAAGTTTCTCATCCTCATTGCCAGGTGGCAGCAGAGGTCACAGGCAGTTCCCCCCAGGACCTCTTCAAGGTCTACAAGCACAGATTTGTTTGCTGAAGAACAATTTAAACAATCTCTTCAATTCTCCCTCTTAGCTCACCTCTGCTAAGAGCAACACATGGGGCCACCACGTGCTGGTCAGCAACAAAGCAGGGGAACAGCTGAGGAGATCATGTGCAAAAGCAGTGACTGACAGGGAAACACCACCTCCTGCAACCCCTGCAAGGAACAAACCCAACAGCCTGACCTTCCAGCAGCGCAGCACGTGCTGAGCAGCACAGCATCCTGCAGACACCTCAAAGCAGCTGAAGTTGGCAGCTTCAGGTTTTACCAACCATTTGTGTGAAGTGTTCCACAGAAGCACTGCAGTTAAAGATCAGGATTTTAGAAAGGGCAGTCATTAGATCTGAAATATTACATAATTAGAAGTAATTAATGGTTTTTAATGACTTAGAGATGTTCTAAGGGCACCTGGGGATACCAATCCTGAGCTCACCGTCCCTCTGGACACTAGAAATATCCAAAATAATTTTTTCACAGCAGTTAAGCACACACGAAAGAGAAGAGCCATAGACCCACAAGAGTCCTGTGGTGGGGGGGATGGAGCTTCATGATCCTTGAGGTCCCTCCCAACCTGGGCCATTCTGCATGAAGCAGAGCACGTTGCTTCTAGAGCATCATGCTCCTCACGTAGCTCTGCTACGGCACAAACACACTCCCTCTTGAATATGCCTCAAGTCAGCCTACAGAGCTTCCAAAGTGAACTTGAGTCTCAACACAGCAGCTGATGGCTCTTGGTGTAGAGCAGCTTTGGCAGCAGCCCTCACACTGCTGGCACTGACTCCCAGGAGAACCTGAGAGGATCAGAGCCCACAGAGCGGGTCCGACCCTCAGGTACCGCTCCTCACACTGTTTGGTGAGGGGAATCCCTGCTGCCTCACCCCCGCGCTGGGGAGCAGCTACCTTTACCCCAAGGCTTTCGAGGCAGCTGATGAAAGAGAGGGAAGCTCTCTATGCAAGCACCCCAATGCATCTCCAGAGCTTTAAGGAATGCAGTTCCTCCAGTGGGTATCTGAGCTTGGCATGACTAACAGGAGCAAACCTAAATAAGGAACAGCCACCAGAGCGTACAAAAATGGGTTCCTGCAGCACTGTCCCATACAGATCCCCACCATCATCAGCTGTTTCACATCTGACAGCCACCAGCCCGTAGCCCCATGGCACAGGCGCTGCAGAGCCTCGTGAGAGCTGCTGGGAGTCCTTCAGCTCTACAAACCACTGCAAGCAGCAGGTGCTGGGTGAGCAGTACAGGCTGTGCAAGTGACGCATTAAGGCAGCTTCTATTGAGTGTCAAGCACAGTTTGAGTCCTACAGGTTTTGTCTCCCTTTCACTTACTAAAACTCGAGTTTCCTTCAGCACAGTAGGCAGCACATGCAAGCAAACCAATCAAACAAGAATGAAGCTGTGAAACGAAGGTGCGCAGAAAGAAGCCGCGCTACCTTCATGCCGAAGGAATCACAGACAGACATCAGCCGGTGCCAGGCACGGCACTGCTTCATCCGGCACCCAGGAAGCTCATAAGAGACAGCGGAGGCTCAGCGCCGAACTGCGTCCCACGGGGAGCTCCGGCAGAGGGGCGGGCGGAGCCCAGCGCAGCTCCACGGCTCCCGGCCCGGCCTCCCTCCCGGCACATGCTCAGTAGATCATTCACAGACAAAGTAAACACGAGAAAAATAAAGTTAGCTTCTCTTGCTACAACTTTCCCCAGCAACGAGCCATTTCCTTTCAGCTCAAAGTCCACGGCGGCTCTGATAACGCTCCCGGGCGCGAGGCAGCGCACGGCCCTGGAAACAGCGAGCAGCCGCGCTGCGCCCCGCCAGCTGCCCGACAGATGGACCGCCGCGGCGGGCGCAGCTCCCGCTCGGTTCCTACCGCGGCGGAACGCCTCCGCAGGGTGCCCGCACCGCGCCGCGCTCCCAGCTCCGCGTCGGGACATCACACAGCTCCGGAAGGCGGCACAGCCCTGCCCGGTAAACGGGACCTTCCTTCGTTACGGGGCGGGGGAGCAGCGCAGGAGCCCCAGGAGCGCGGGACCGTTCGAGTGCAGCTCAGCGAGCAGCGACGCGCCGGAACGCAACCGCTGCGCTCCCGAGAGCGGACCGCGCGGCGTGCGAGCAAACAAACGAGCCCACGAGCAGAAGCACGCGTTGCACCGGGCGGCGGCTGCTCCCATCGGGAACGCCCGCAGCGCAGCCAGGCCCCGCCGCCTCGGTGGGGGCCGCCGTGCGGAGCCGGAGCGGAGCGGCCCCGAGCGGCTCCCGCCGTCCCGCTCGGTGCCGCCGGGTGACCTCCAGGCCGGGCCGATGGCACTGACCTTGGGCTGGGCGCGGCCACGCGGGACCCTCCGCGGCCCCCGGAGCGCAACGAGCGGCTGCGCGCAGGGCGGGCGGCGGGCGCGGAACCCCCGGCACCAGCGGAGCGGAGCGGCAGAAGCGCCGGGCCCGCGGCCGAAGGCTGGCAGCCCGGGACGGAGGGCCGCGAGGATGAAGGGATCCGGGCCCGGCCGCGCGCGGTACTTACGGACGGTCCGGCGCGGCGCTGCCCCTCCCGGCGCCGGTGCCCGAGCCGGTCCCGGTCCCACCCGCCGCCCGCCGCCCGCCGCCCCCCGCCCGCGCCGACCCACGTGCCGCCCGGCCGGGCCGCCGCGCTGGGACATGCACGGCACCGCGCCCCGCCCGCGCGCCACGCCCCTCTCGCGAGAGCAGCGCCGGGACCGCCGCGCCTGCGCACCGCGTCCCGCCGGCACCCAAGGGGCGCCCCTCCGCCCCGGCACGCGGAGGGTCGCGGCCCCGCCCCTGCCCGCCGCCATTCGCCGCTCCAGCGCTCCGCCCGGCGGTTCGCGGCGCGGCTCCCGGAGCCGTGGGGACGTTCCGGAGCACGGACGCGGAGCAGCACGGACGCGGAGCACGAGCCGGCGGAGCGCGACCGCGGCCTCTGCGTGCTGGGCGGAAAGGCGCGCGCCGGGGCGGGTAACGCCGCGCTGCGGGCCGTGGGCGCTTCGCTTTCGTTTCAGCGGGAAGCGGCGGCTCCTCGCAGCGCTGCGCGGCTCGGCGCTGTCGAGCTGTCGGTGCGCCGCGAGGAAAAGCTCTGGGGCGGCGCGGTGCTGCGCGCATTTGCGGCGCCTGATGGGGAGAGGTTTCCTTTACCGAGGGTCACGAGGGCGCGTGTGTAACGTAAACGTTTGAGCTGCGGGGACACAAAGCTGCGTCCGTCTGTGTGCGGCACAGAGCCGAGCTCCTCGGTCAGCTGAAGTCCCGGGCTGTGCTGCAGGGAAACCAAATCCGTGTGATGCTGCTGAGCATAACGACGCGCCAGATAAAGCTGACAGCTACCAGTGGATACCCGCTGCTGTCTCACAGTCACGTTCTCAATGAATTTCATGAGCAGGAAACGCCTCCTGGCCGCCTGGCTCAGCTGCCGCCACGGCTTAAAAAGCAAACAAATGTCCCTGGCAAGAAGAATTGGCACCGAACAAAGCAAAAAGGACTGAAAATGAGAAAAGGATGGGCGAGTTATGTCAGCAGCCTCAAGGCCAATTTACTCCTGGTTTGTTTTGTTTTTTACCTCTGCCTTTGCTGCGAATTGCAGGCGTGCCCAGTAGCATCTCAAACAGAACTGAAAAGTGAGAAGGCCAACAGAATGGTACTTGCAGAATTGCTTTGCAGGGTATTTGATTTGTTGTTGGAGTGTGACAGCAGGATCCTGGCTTTCAGTGTGAGCCTGGTTTCATCTCCCTGAACCCACACTGTTGGTCAGCAGTGCTGGCTGCTTGTTGCTCTGGTGCAGAGCAGCACAGCTGGCTGTCAGCTGCAGTTACAAAGGGAGCAGCAGTAATTTTTCCTTTTCCAGGAACCAGGTGAGACCAGCAGTGAAAACCAATGACCACCCTGGCTGGAAAGGGACCAGAGAAGAATCACACCTGGAGAAAGAGATCCCAGCCAGCTTTCCAAAGGACAGGAGACACGGAGCTGGTGACAGCCCCTCCTTTATCCATGAGCAGTAATTCAGCTCACAGAAACTCAGGAGCCAAATGTTTGGAGCAGACATGTAAGTTTCTTCCCTTGTTTTGCTATCCTGCCCCTGCCAACCCCCGGCCTCACCTGTGTTCGTACGGTGAGGCCTTTACTCCTTTGTGTGCTTTGCATTGCTCTGAAGCAGGCTCCCCTTTGGCTCACTGCCACTCTGTGCCATCTCTGGCCCACGTTCAGTCATGTCTGTAGACAGTTGGGTGGGTTTTACACACTGTAGAACTCTGCACATGCTCTCACTGTGAGAAGAGCTGGAAGAACCAGTAAAAAGGGGAAAGAACCCCGGCTGATACCGCAGGGAGCGGGAGGACGCAGCCAGCAAGTGAATGCACTTCACAGAGTGCAAATTAAGTTACGGAGAACAGAAGCCAGGACAGGTGAAGAGGTAGAGGCAGTCACTGCAACCCTCACCTAGCATCTTACCTTAACCACAAGTACTGAATTAATAAACAAGGGCTTGGAAAACTCAGCTCCAGTCAGGCCTGTCTCTGATCTGCCTCTTCAGGACACAGTCACTTCACTTACCTCCCTCTTTAGTGCCACGGTCTGGATGAGCAATTCTTGTACAGCTCAACAAAGCCATTCTGCTGAGCATCCAGCTCTGCACAAAATTCATTCTCTGAGCATATTAGTCAGGAGCAGAAGCTGCAGAGCAGATCTTTGTCATTTTTCTAAAGGACAGTGTGCTATGAAAAAAAAATCAACAGTTTAAAAGTTCAGTGGGAGCTTCTTAAACACACTTAGTCGTCTAGTCATCACTATAATGCTATCATTTGACTGTACCTTAAAATGCAGCTGTTGAACTTCTTCATTGTTGTGTTGAGCAGCAAAGCTGTACTTGTTTTAACAAGTTACATCATGGGAGACTTTATTCTACGCTCTCTACCCACACAACGCCGGGATTTATTTTCACCTGAGAACTTGTTAATAATACCAGCAAAGAAACTAGTGTTCCAAGATGCTTAGGATTCACACACAAATCTTAAATTCTACTGGTAGGAACAGAACATTATTGCTCTGGTAGGAAATAGTCAATAGCATTCTTCACAGCAAGAAGAGTTTTAGCTCAGTTCCATGGTGCTGTGCTGAGCATGATATACTTACTTAGGTCAATGTGTTTTCTGCCTACTTTACCAATCCAGATGGACTTAAAGGGAGGAAAGAAAAATAAGCATTTAACAATCACAGAAGTGACCAACTTGCAGCAGAACTCAGTGCTGTGGTAGGATGCTAAGGACCAGACTTACTACATTTCGTGCACACGGGTGTTTCTCAGATGTAGCAGTTTGCCCATGACAGCATTTGGTCACTTTAACAAATGGCTCTGAGGAACCCTGGGGTCAGCAAAGTGGGGCAAAGAACAGGACATCTCTCCCCCAGCCCTCGAAGCAGTGTGCTGTGATAAACAGAACGGCCACTTTGCTTTTATCTGCTGTGTTTCCTTAAACCAGCTGCGCACAGCTGTGAAGCAGCCTGAGATGAGGCTGATCCTCACAGCAGTGTTACCATTCAGAGGTGTCAGATTCAGCTCAATGCCAAAGTTGCCCTCAGTGCTGGCACCCCACCAGCTTCTGAAATGGGCTTTCAATTGTTACACCTGTGCAACTTCTGTTGTTTTTTAGCATTCACAATAAAGTCTGACATCGTTAAAGAGAACTACAATTTCTTACGAAACATCTGGGCTGTCTGAAGTGTGAATATTGAAAAGACTTGTTATTCCAATCAGAGCCATTTGGAAATATTTATGCTGGCCAGAGACAGCTTAGTGTTTAGGAATTAGCTACTCTCACTACAGGTCAGTCTTATTCCAGGTGTTTACAGCAGTTTTAACAATTGCAGTTTTCCTTCTTGTACAGTTTTACCCTTATTTAACTCTAGAACAAAATTTGTACCCTTTCATCGAAGAAGTTCTGAATTTAGACTTTTTTTTTTCCTTTGTAAAATGTTCTGGCATATTGGTGCCAGCTGGGCAGGGATTCTGAAGTTATTTCCAAATAGAGAAATGGTTGCTCTGAGGATGCCACTTTTTTCCCTTGTGTAGAGTTGTTCAACTGCATAAAGACTGAGCTAAAATAACTTCCCTTTCATTCTGTACCACAAGTAACAGAGAAGGTTAACTGTCCAAAAGAAGAATGTCAGCATTTTTAGCAGCAGTCACTTAGCATGGCTCAGGAAATACCTCTTAGGGCTCCTCTTTACACACAGTGCTGCTATTTCTGATACAGATTAATGCACGTTTCCTCTGAAGTAAAGAAAACGTACTCCTATAGAAGATACTCAACTAGTTATGGTTCATAAAGGCAGCATATAAGTACTTACACATTTTTGGTAGAAAAGTATTCACCTAAAATAATTTTTTTTTTTTTTTTTTTGGTCATAAAGGTTGCCTGACAGTTGGAACTTGAAGCTTTTAAGCTAGAAAAGCCCAAATAGACAAATTATACTGATATGTTCTTTAAAGGCCAAGCAGCTGTTTTATTAAAATACTGAATTTACATTTAAAAGTCTGATTCTTTCAATTATAATAATCTTACTGAAGTGACATGAAATTCACGACAAGGAGCTAGCTTTATTCTGTCCACATTCTGTCCTCAGTTATCCACAGACAGTTCTGCTGCTATTCAAAACCGTGCAAGTTCACACCCACACAGGAGCACATTTGTCTGGAAAGACAAATCCCAAGGCAGTTGGTTCTCATTTTCCCAAGGAAAAACAGCTTTTCAAATCTCAATTTCAAACCCATCCAAATCTGTGTTCCAAGAAACAGAGAAAGGATTCCAGAATATACCAACTCCCTTAAGTGAATGACCTTCAAACAACTTGAAGCAGGTTGAATTTACATTTTACTTCAAAAAAAGGCAAAGTACATACATGAGGAGAAGATGGGAGGAACAACAGTTACCTGAAACCAGGCTCCTACCATTTCTGTCTAAGCTTACCAGCTGTGTCTGAATCAGCAGGGCTCCAGCCCACCCTGGCACACTTGCTTACCATAGGAACAGGACTGTGTATCGAGGGAACGTTTTCAAAGTTGAGGCCCAAATGGAAAGAGTAAGATATCATACACAGTGTAAGTTTATAGTACACAGCTTTGTTTTTAAATGACATAACGCAACAGCAGGAAGGAGAAGTAGTAGTTAACAATTACTAACACTAGAATAATCAAATTTGTATGTTATACATATACAGCAACTAACTGCTTTACAAAAAAAGCAAAATAATACAATATATTGTCACATGTATTTACAGTGTAGTAAATATACTTTTCTGTCAAATTTTACACAAAAAATATTTACAGGTGAATATACTGCATTAAAAAAAATGGTGGGACCAACACTAAAAGTGACTTTCTGTGGTAAGTTTGTTGCATAACAGTAAGACGTGCTTCATTACATTTGTAAAAATTAAATTTAGGATGAAACAGAAAAAGCCCTAAAACCTACAACCCATTTAGGAAGAGAGCACTGGAATGCTCCCAAGTGCTCGGTCCACAATACTTATTTGAAAGGTTTCCTATTCCTGGAAACTTCATGCACATTAAAGCAGAAACATTGGCATAATTAACAGGTAGGTTATGTACTATTCAAATACTACTGAATTATCTTTAAGTCAGGGAAAATACAAACACAAAATGTTAATCATCTTTACAGTACTTAACTGTAGTTAGTATGTAATGGATAGCATGTTCTAAAACAGGGGTGTCAAACATACAGTCCCCATAGTGTAGCTACGTGGTCCACGTGTTACAATCAGATTTTTCTGAATTTAAGTTTTCATTCTGAAGTACACAGACTGCATGGCTGCAGAGCTGATCCTCTGACCATGATGAGGGCAGCCTGTGCAGTGCTGAGCGCCGCCTGAAACAGTGACTGGAAGGTCTGAACTTGGGAGTCTCCCACTTCTTACATCAGGTGTCAAGCCTGTTCTTGAAGCATTGTCACCAGCAACTAACTGCTGATCACTAGCATCAGTGGAATGACAGGATGAGGAGAGGGCTGAAAGAGGCTGGGTTAGAAATGGAGAGCGGTGCTCACAGGAATGAACAGAGCAGGACACAGAATATGCAGAACAGGAAAAGGGAGCAAATAAAGGAGGATATGAGAAAGAAAACAAAAAAGTAAAGCAATAGCAATGGCTATTGCAGGGAGCAAGTTTTCATAGTGATGGATGACAGTAAGGCACTGACCAACCACATACTAATCAGAGTTTACGAATGAAAGGAAGGCGTTTTCCCCCTTGGTCTAAGCACAAACTTTCTAAACCCTGGTGCTGCTGTGTATCAGGGCAAACATAGCCCTGAATTACATCTTTGCTGTCGACTGTGGCCACCTAGAGTACTGCATTCAGGTCTGGGCTCCCCAAAGGCAGATATGGGCCTGCTGGAGCAAGTCCAGAAGAGGCCAGGAGGATGCTCAGAGGAGGGCTGAAGCAGCTCTCCTATGGAGTCAGGCTGAGGGAGTTGGGCTGTTCAGCCTGGAGAAGGCTCTGGAAGACCTCACAGCGGTCCTTGGGGCTGCAGGAAAGGAATGCCTGGGAGTATGAGGGCTTTAAACTAAAAGGGTAGACTTGGACCAGGTAAAAGGAAAAAATTCCTCACAGTGAGGGTGGTGAGGCCTTGGCACAGGCTGCCCGGAGCAGCTATGGGTGCTCCATGCCTGGAGGTGCTGGAGGCCAGGCTGGGTGGGCCCTGGGCAGCCTGTGCTGGTGGGAGGTGCCCCACCATGGCAGAGGCTGCGACGTGAGCTTTAAGGCCCTTCTATCCAAACCATTCTACGGTTCTGTGTCTCCAGTTACACTCAAGCTCAGCTCTTTTTACCGAAAATGTTTGACACCCCTGCTCTGAAAGTTCGGGTCACCTCACTGAACTACAGAGAGAAAACGTTAAATGACTCCTCCCCAAGAAACAGAACAAATTAAACTTTGCCGACTTGTCATTTCTAGTTCTCACTGAAAAGGTAATTTTGGTTTCACCATACTCATAGCTGTAAGAATGCATTAGTTCTTATTTCATGATGCATTTTTTATAGAGGCAATGCAAAATATTAGAAGAGTTGCTCTCAAACGCACTCAGTCCAAACAGAGCAGAGCTGGCAGTTCATCTGGAATTATTTTTAAAGAAAATTTTCTCACAGAGAAACAACTGAACATTAACTTTTTGTATCAGTAAATTACAAGAGATTCTTTTTTCCTTCCACCTGTGGAGGGAATAACTCTATAGGTTTCTACAATTCATTGTCTTCAGCAAAACAGAAAGGGCTGGAAATAGCTTGGTTCAGGATAATCAGGTGCAAACCGACAGCGATAAGAAGCTATTAGCAATTTGATGCACGAGATGAAAAAGGTTTTTAAATCAGTGACTCCCAAAATTACAAATGCATAGCAGCTGAAAAACATGGCACAAGTCACTGCTCTATTCCTTAATTTAAGTCTAGCCTTGTAACCCTTCCGTAGATCTAACAGTTCAGGAATCACGATTCTACTGCAGCTCCTACACAATCAAGAGTAAAAAAATGTGGTTAATTGCACAAGTCTTTGTATTTTTTCCAATGATTCTATTTCAAGATTGCTAATTCTACATTTTCATATTGTTTTGGCAAATTATTTGCATATTAAGCTTGTGTTCATAGTTCTTCCAGGACTGTAAACAAATTAGAAGAATTGTTATTTTATGAATCAATACAATAAAGGCATTTTTATTTACATAAATGTTACATTGTTACTGTGTGGATACACGTGAATTATGTGCTATATCAATAAAATTTGAACACTTATAATTGTACCATTCTCTAATAATTTAGCTGTGGAGTTTGATTTACTGAAAGCCACTAACAAAATTGCACTAGAGGATTTTACTTTTTTCATATAGTGGATATACTTTTTTTTTTCCCTTCTAAAGCCATTTATCAGTTGTTAACTTCTAACATACAACAAAGGTCTGAATCTAGGAAGTTAACTGTTCTTTAGCAGTAGATTTGCTTAGCCCTACAGTGAGCACCTGGATGTCAGGCCTTTGTCAGAATGCCCATCCACCTCTGAGGTCCAACGCTCTGCACATCTTCAGTCCGTGCAGGTAATGCCTGTAGCACCCAGTGCTACATCTTTACACGCCATTCAACATAGCAGCATATTATCACAGTCCCCATTGCTAATGCACTACTGTGGCTGACAAGTCTTTCACAGTGATAGCAATTTCAGTTTCATATAACCCCCAAGTACGAGCCCTTACAAACTAAAACCCCTTGAAAGTTCTGCAAGAAAAGTTTGATTGCAAATGTCTGTACTGACAGCAGAAATTGCACTGCAAACATTCAAACGTAACCTGGATTTGACAAAATGTCAGTTACTTTTAAATTTGTGTACCTTGAGCAAACATTACTGTTTTTATATCACTGCTTGGACAGCACAAAAGCAGCTTTGCCAAACAAGAATTTTCCCCTTTGTATCCCAATAGTTCTTCTGCCAGGAATTTCTCGAAAGAGTGCATTGTTAGAAGGGCAAAACTAAAGCATATGTTAAATGGAAGAAAGAAGCAATAAATTTTAAACACTGCTATAATGACACTGTAATAGTCAGTTCTTGATGGTTTTCTTAGAATCATAGAATCACAAGGTTGGAAACGACCTACAAGATCATCCAGTCCAACCGTCCTCCCATCACCACTGCTACCACAAGCACTAGACCACATCTCACAGCTCCTCGTCCAGGCGCCTCTTGAACACTGCAGGGACGGCGACTCCACCACCTCCCTGTGCAGCCATTGCAGTGCCTGACCACTGAGAGAAAAAGTTCTTCCTTATGTCCTACCTAAACCTCCTCTGGTACAACTTGTGGCCATTTTCTCAGGTCCTGTTTGTTGCCTGGGAGGAGAGGCCAAAATCCTCTTCACCACAGCCTCCCTTCAGGAAGTTGTAGAGAGCAATGAGGTCTCCCCTGAGCCTCCTCTTCTCCAGACTGAACAATCCCAGCTCCCTCAGCCGCTCCTCATAGGACTTGTGCTCCAGACCCCTCACCAGTTTCGTTGCCCTTCTCTGGACACGCTCCAGGGCCTCAACGTCTTTCCTGCAGTGAGGGGCCCAGAACTGAACACAGCACTCGAGGTGCGGCCTCACCAGTGCTGAGTACAGGGGATGATCACCTCCCTGCTCCTGCTGGCCACACTATTTCTAATGCAGGCCGGGATGCCGTCGGCCCTCTTGGCCACCTGGGCACACTGAGCTCATGTTCAGCCGAGCATCAACCAACACCCCCAGGTCCCTTTCATCTTCACAGTCATCCAGCCACTCAGCCCCAAGCCTGTAGCTCTGTATGGGGTTGTTGTGGCCAAAGTGCAGGACCCGGCACTGGGCCTTGTTGAACCTCATCCCATTCACCTCAGCCCAGCGATCCAGCTTATCTGGATCCCTCTGAAGGGCCTCCCTACCCTCAGGCACATCGACACTTCCTCCCAACTTGGTGTAATCTGCAAACCTACTGAGGATCCCCTCATCTCGGTCATCAATAAAGATTTTAAACAAGATGGGCCCCAGAACCAACTCCTGGGGGACACCACTTGAAAGGAGTCACCAGCTGGACTTCACTCCATTAACCACTACCCACTGGGCACGGCCCTCCAGCCAGTTCCTTACCCAAAGCAGGGTATACCTGTCCAGGCCACGGGCAGCCAGTTTCCCCAGAAGAATACCGTGAGAGACCGTGTCAAAGGCTGTGCTGAAGTGGTAGGTAGACTAGATCAGGTAGGTAGACTAGGTAGACTACATCAACAGCTTTTCCCTCATCTACTACGTCCCTTGTCTTTCTACTGTACAAGCTTTTATAGTGCAGTTAAAGTACAGCAAAAAAAACAAAAAAACAAAAAAAACCAAAAACAAAAACAAAAAAAAAAACTTTGGAAAAGACAGTTTATCCAGTCTGGTCCATATACAGTCCAAGTGTTTGAAGCTATGGTCTGGGGAATGAAGAGACTCATGAAGCCTCCTTGTCCTCTCAATTTATTGCTAATTACTAGGAATTTAATCTAATCAACCAATTCTGGCTAAGCTCATTGTACTGCAGCTATTGTTAACTTTCTTTTAAGCATGGTAAAAAAAAGTCCACAGCTAAAATTCCTACAGGTTTGAATTAAAACCAGGATAATAGTAACTTCCCCTGGCTCATAAAGCCACTACCTTGAGAAGTGTGCAAACAGGATTAAGTATTAACACTTTCCTTTATAGAAGAAACAAACAAGGCGAATCACAGAAGCAAGGTAGAACCGTCTATGGAAATGGCTTTCATATTTGGACAAGGTTCCGCAGTGTTAAAGAACTCACATCTCCTTCGCCTACAAAGTCCTTCAGGGTCTACAAGTGGTTCTGAAACACTGGCTTAAATTAAAAAAAAAAAACAGAAAAAAAGAAAGAAGGCATTAAAATTGAGGCAATGTTTCAGGAGTTGATCATCTGGCAACATGGCTGACAGGATGGGAACTTGAAAAATTAAGTGCAGCATCACAACTGGTGGGGGGCCCTTTGCAAGAGGCCCACGTACGTCAGTCAGTTTCAAAAAAAAAAAAACCAAAAAAACCCAATTAAACAAAAAAACCAGCCCCAAGTTTCACACAATCTTCTTAATGCTGTGACGTTTCAAGCTGCCAGCACTTCGCTGCTTTTGCACCTGGCTGGCAGAGCCGTGGCGCATCCTCCCGCTGTTGGTGTGGCCAGCGGTGGGCGAGAGCTCCACGTTCTCCTTGTCGATCCCTGGGGAAACACACAGACCAAGTGTTAGCCTCGCTGCTTTGCCACCCTGCGACTCAGCACCATAACAACAGACGTTTCTGCAAACGAACAGGTTAGCATGGAAGTGCCTTCACGGTACAAAATACTGTGACACCCTCGATGCCAGAATCAAGGCACCCTGCCGGACCTCGCGGGGCCGGGCGACGGCGACACAGGCGGCACTCGGTGACTGTGCTCAGGATACAACCCAGGTCTGCCATGCGAACAGGTGGCGGTGAGGAGACAGCCTCTGGGAACACAAGCAGCCAGCAGTGCTGCCCTATAGCTGGGAAAGCACCTCAGACATCCAACTAACAAAATATTTAAAATAACTCGTAATTCTCCTGGCAAGAAGTAACACAGCCTTACTGGTGACAATGACTCGCAAATGAGAGATCTGATGCAGCTGTTTTATTGCAGTACTGTAATATGAAGAATGATTTTTTCAGATCAAATGTATAACTCTGAGCTCAGAAAGCACAGCTGCTGACCAGATCCAACACTTCCCTGTGCTAACCTTCGTAAGGACAGGAAAAGTCACTGCAAATACTCCTGAAATTCCACTAGTAACAAACAGGGCAGTGAGACTCAGGTCCAGTTCAGGAGGGAGGGCAGACTGCTCTGCTCTGGAGTTGCCTCAACACCCTGCAGCTGACAGCAGTGTCAGAGCTGGCTGTGCACAAGGCTGCTCGTTTGCAGGAGCACGTGCTCTGATGTATTTGTGGGCAAAATGAACAAGGGTACTTGAAAACAAAATGCTCCATCCATACCCTCAAAAGACACCCTCCCAAATCAAGAATAAAGAAACTCTAGGGCCAAAGCTTGGACATAATTGCACAATCACTGACAAGACATGAGTCTGGAAATATACATGACTGCTATTGCAAAAGTGTTGCTCTCCCAGACAGAGGCAGGAGGGAGAAGGCGAGGATGAAACCAGCCAGGATTTCTACCCCAGTGCACATATTCTCCTAAAAGCTTTAGACGAATTCTACTGTGCTGTGCTAAAGGAATCACATCAAACAACCAGCCTAAACAAACCCCACCAGTTTAACTTCATGCTGACATGATGACAGCACATGATTGGGTATGAGCCACTGCTCTCCATCTCTGGGATACAGTCTGTCATCTGAAGACATAAATGTCTTAGTGCAGACGTGCTTTCAATCAGTCATTACTTTTATGCTAACCCTACTTTGAGTTAATCACTCGTGTGGCAGCATCTTCGTGCAGCTGTCAGTTTACTTCTGCTACAACAAAATGAGTATGCTTGAGGCACGTTTAACAACACTAAACACTTACAGTACATGTGCAGCATTGGAATGAGTAGTAGGAATGGTATGTTAATGGGAGAGGCTCAAAGTATAACCAGCAGCAAAAATTAGGATGTCTGACAGCAAATGAAAAGGTTGGAGCAAAATCCTGTCACTACAAACAGTATCTCCCACACTTTTATGTTTCATCCCTCTAACAAATTGATTCTCATTGGCACAAGAATAGTGATTACACTCCACTGTTTCACACAGTTACAGTGAAAATCAAAACTGTGTTCAGAAGCTGTCTGTGGGCTGCTGTCCTTCTGCTCCCTGTGTGTGTGAGCTCATGAAGTCACAAGCTATGATGAGAACAGGAAGCAACCTGCAAGGTGAGTAAAAAAAGTCTTTTGCAGTCTTATTTATTTATTTTTCCACACAGAAGCAGAAATCAAATGGTGCTGATGAGAATTCATTTTTT